CATCATTACCACCACCATAATTACCACCACCATCATTACCACCACTATCATTACCACCACCATAATTACCACCACCATCATTACCATCACTATCATTACCACCACCATAATTACCACCACCATAATTACCACTACCATCTTCACCACTATCATTGCCACCACCATCATTACCACCACCTCCATAATTACCACCTCCATAATTACCACTGCCATCATTACCACCACTATCATTTACCACCACCATCATTACCACCACCATCATTACCACCACTATCATTACCACCACCATAATTACCACCACCATCTTCACCACTATCATTGCCACCACCATCATTACCACCACCTCCATAATTACCACTGCCATCATAACCACCACTATCATTTACCACCACCATAATTACCACCACCATCATTACCACCACCATCATTATCATAATATCATTACTACCATGGCATCACTACCATCTTGACCAGCACCAACATCACAACACTAATTTACACTTTAATTAAATCTTAGAATTTCATTGTAACTGGCCTGACAGATGTGTGGTCAGCAATAAGAAATACATGTGCTACAAGGCTGTCAAGGGTCATTGATAGTTTTACCATTCCACAGTTGGAATGTTTGTTTCTTGAATTGGAACAGGTTGGTGTTGCCATTAACCTATTGAGCCGCAAGGCGCCCCAGTGCGCTCTACTTATTTTTTACTTGTCTAATGCCAGATGATTTTACTAGTCAATGGGGAAGCTCTGCAGCTTAATGGGTTAAAGTTATGTAGTCGATTCTGTGTATTGACTTCTTGAATTGACATAGACTGATCAATGTTGATTAATTGACAGACTATCTGATTGATTTACTTGATTTCCTACACAGATTTGTAAATCTAAGAGTTCCCCTTGGCAAGCCAAAGAAGGAGCGGTTATGGGTGAGATTATAGATGAAAATGTTTTGTCTGAATGTATTCATTTCATGATGATTTTCACCGACATAAAATTTGCCATTTCATAACAAGGTATGACAACAATCATAAGAAGTTTTCATGTGAGTAACTTGCCTGTATCAAATTCCGATTCATCATCTTCACCAAAATTTCAAATGTTTGTCAAGGTAAGATAAAGCTTTTAACCCATTATTTATAGCTTGTAATTGAAGTTAGGTACAACTGTTTAAACCCTGGACAAAGTAGGAATCATTGACATGGAAACATTGTATCCTAGCCCAGATTTCTCAAGATGGGCGAACCATGCATGTAACTATGTTTCCTAGCCATGATTTTCCTGAGGGTGGGCAAACCAGGAAACTTTGTTTCTACAACAAAAACCACACATGCTTATGAAAAAGACGTGTTAACTTTCTGAATTTGGGAAGAACATTATTTCAACAACATTGTACCATATCCTCTAGATTATATTTCATATTAGTAATGTTGTTCTTAATTTGTTTTAGTTTGGTAAAGAACATTTGACAAAACTGCCAGAATTCATCACAGATTCACTTTATACTGTGGTATTTTCCTTGCTTGCTCATCCTCAACTGAGCATTCGAGAACACGCTTCAAAAGCATTTACCTCCATTTTGTCACGTTCAGAATCGCAGGTAATTGTTACATTTTGAATGTGTCAGAGAAATGATACACTGTATAACATATTTTTTTGGGCAACCAGTAGCCAAACTTTTCATCACTGGTAACTATTTTTATTAATTACTTGTGTTTATTTTGTTTTCTGTTCCTGCCAGTACATCGAGAAGTCATTTCGTCAAGTGATCATCCATCTCTGCAAGGGAACTGATGTTGATATAAACAACCAAAAATACGAAGTATGTGCATCAGATTGTAATATCTCTTAAAATGATTATGTAAATTTTGTAACATCATGACATATTCATTGTTTGGTAAATTTTCCCCACTTCCCTGATTCATCAATGCTGTTCACTTTATTTCAGAAATTACCTCATCATGCTGTTCTGCGCGAGGATTTCACATTTCTTGATGCGTATGAAGCCCAAGGTCTTTTAGAAGTCAGCATTTTTCTTATTAAGGTACATGATCTGACTATACAATGGCTCGTTTATTTGTGTGTGTTGTTCATGTAATATTAAAACAAGTAATAACAAATTGTTCGTTTTAATTTGTGTTTCATTTTTAGCGCATCCCAGTTAATATTCTTATGGAACGTTGGCCGCTGTATTTCTCAACATTTAATTTGTATTTGATGCATCCTGCATCAACAGTTAGACAAGCGAGCAGTGTGGTGTTTAAATATTTAGGTAGGTACTGTATAGCTCTATCAATTGCAAACTATTATCCCTAGAAGTGAAGTAAGGGGCATCCCTTGACCCTTATCGCTCCAATATTACTAAAATGGAGGATTAGGAAGTGTTAAACAGTGTTAAACAGTCAGTTCAGTGTTAAACAGTGTTAAACAGTCAGTTCAGTGTCAAACAGTCAGTGTTAAACAGTAGAATTACTTAATATGTAAAATTCATATTGTGATCACAGAAACTTGAATAGGACGGTAGGACCCATTGCACAAGACGTCACAGCGCCGGTGACGATGCATCTGGAGGACAATTTACAATAACTTTTGTAAACAAAGCAAATTTTGTATAACTTCTATAATAATTTTGTATTAAAATGGTTAATTTTTGCGCCGTAAGTGGTTGTTGTACCCGAACAGATATTGTTAGGGAGCATCTGGAGGACACTCTAAGGATTTGTGACGTCAGTGCAATGGGTCTATAGTGTAACCAGGCTATAGAACGGTTGTAAAGCCACCTTGCCAAATGCTTGCCCTCGGCCATTCTGCCATTGAAAAAATATTTTGTGTTCAATATATAGACCACAGTAAGACTTTTTTAATTGTGTTTATTGAAAAAATAGTTATCAGAGATTCCTTTCGTTTGTTAGTAACCAAGGACAGTAGTTCTCCAAGTATTTTGAAACTTGTTTTACAATGTTTGTGTGAACATTGGAGGACTACCTCGACGCCAGATCAAGATATTGGAATTAAAAAGGTACAGTGTACTTCTAAACATCATCTTCAGCCTGAAAAGTCGGACAAATAGTTCAAGACAAGGATAGTCATTTTTTCAAGCGTTCTACAGGCCCATTTCCACTCGGGAAAATTTTCCGCAAGAAAATTTTGTAAAATGTGATTAGGCGACACGAATTTTCCGTCGGAAAAAATTTTGAAGTTGAAAATTTTCAACTTTTAATAATGATATTTTCGGAGAATTTTCTGTCCCTGGAAATTTTTCTTGAGTGGAAATGGGCCTTAATTAACATTGTCCGTTGATTGGTCTTAACCAGATTTGATAACTGGGTATTGCGAGAGATACATTCCCTGGTTCCAGAGGTTTATTTTTATTATTTTCATTGCGAAGGGGAGAGGAAAAATAAACCTCTGGTTGAAAGCGGCAATTGATTCATCGAGCCGCGCCAATCGGTTTGAATTAGGGTCAGATCCTTACTCTGTCTCCTGATTGGATGATTGTATTAAAGCTCTCTGATTGATTCAAATAAAACATCTATAACCAATCAGAGAGCTTTAATACAATCATCCAATCAGGAGACAGAGTCAGGATCTGACCCTAATTCAAACTGATTGGCACCTCTGGAACCAGGGTAAGAGATACAGTACAACTCTCTGAAAAAAGCAAGCAGAACTTTTTCAGGTAGTTGATCATGTATAGTATCTCTCACAGTCGTTATAGATTTAGTTTCACAGTTCGCAGTTATCGTTATAGATTAGCAGTTATATAGATTTAGAATACTAGATCAGACAAAACTTTAGTATTTATAAATTGAAGATTTTTGCTATTAATTATAAGATCCATATCCGTAGTTTTATTGCTTTCCAACCATTTTACAACGGTTGAAAAAATCACCATCCGGTAGATAACGCTATCCGATCTTCTTACAACCAGTCCCACTATAATTTGATTATCCAATTGCAATTTTTGCCATTTTGTGACATACTGTGAGTGACTTGATGGATTTCTGCATCCACTTTCTAGAGATTACATTGTAAACAGAAAATTTCCACCCACACTTGCTCTGATTGCCAGGAATATTGTTCGGAAACGTGTCCAACTACATCGAAATGTAAACGACCAAGTATTAAGGCCATAAACAAAATAATCAGAGGTTTGTAGATTTTATCTTCTTTATATGGTAGAAAAAATAGTTAAATGACTGTAATAATGGTTATTGTGACTTCACGTTAACCAAGGTCGATGCACTCTCCTTTAATCTGGACTTAAGAATTCTGGCGTTAGTGTACAGACGACTCCAAAAATAATATGGAGACTGCATGTGGAGATTGTAGCTGACAACTCGAAAGACCGTGGAGCTACAATTGTGGTCAGATGTTTGTGGAACGCGCGCTTATATTTTAGGCACATGCAAGACTTGCTCATTTGTGATATACTTAACAACGAAAATCAACTTCCGCCTCCCCCCCCCCCCTTCCAATGTTGTTGTTGTGGTTAATGCATTTGCTTGTGTCATTACTTGACCAATACAAATATGCACCCATACAACATTGAAAGAGGGGAGGGGGTGATGTTTAAGTTTAAAGGCAAGAAGTACATGCAATCGAACTCTTCGTTCCATAATATCTGACCATGATTGTAGTTAGCTAAGTCTGGAGCTGTGCTGGAATAGACTCGGCTCCGTTCGAAGATTGACTGTATCCACAAAAATAGAATCTACAAGCATGGTCCAGGATCCGCTACTGTTCCCTGCAACACATAACAAGAATTAAAAATTAAACGTTTTTTTTTAATTTGTTGGTTTCTGTTTGTAGGTGTGCATGAAGAATTATTTGAATACTCGCTGTCGTCAACGTGGGAATGGCGAGAGGGGCGTCTATTTGCGTACGAACTGATTTTAAAATATCTGATTGCTAACCACATTCACTATGTGTTTCCATCTTATGCATTTTCGTATTCACCCCGTCAAGCCTCGTGCTCTGTTGATGAAGCCATGTTGAAAAGGTACGAAGAAAGTCTACCGTATATTCACATAGTATAACCACAGGATAGACGCCATGATTCGCAATGATTGATGATTCGTCATCAAAATGCTGTTACCATGTTCCTAGCCAGTGCACTTACGGGAGGCATTCACCCCCCTGAACGTCCGCCATTTTGAATAATTTTCAGGGGGTAAATGCCTCTTGTAAGCGCAGTGACTAGGAACATTGCTAGCACTGCAACGGTTACGTCAAAATCATAGGCGAAGCCAAGAAGTTGGACTTCTGTATGGTCTCTATTCTGTTGTAAAACAACCTCTCGCCTTCGGCTCCAGCTTGTTTATCTGATACAACACAGCCGCTCATGCTGTATGTACCTGTTTACTTTGCAGAACCCGAGGTCTGTATAGTCAGCATTCCGCACCAACTTACACGGGGAGAGATTCCACCTGTTCTCTACCAGCAACGACCTCTATGGAAATATTGGTAATTTTTTGCACATTTGCATTTTTATCGCGATTATTAAGTTTTGTACAGTAAAAATATCTAAGATGGGTGAATAGACCTTTCCCCTTATGAGTGAAATTTTGATCTAGATATGCCTGGACAAAAATTTCATCACAGCTTGAAAGAGCATCACAAAATTAGTAATATTCCGAAGTTTCGTTGCGAAATGTTGTAAAATGTGGATAATATAGCCTTGCGAAGTTTGCCGTTTTACAAATGGGAAATTGATAATCAGATGATCAAACCGATTACCAATTTCCCGTGCGTAATACAAAATGACTGAAAAACGGCAAACTTCGCAGGGCTATATTATCCGCATTTTACAACATTTCGCAACGAAACTTCGGAATATCACTAATTTTGTGATGCTCTTTCAAGCCGTGATGAGATTTTTGTCCAGACTTGTCTAGATCAAAATTTCACTCGAAAGGGAAAAGGTCTATTTATCATATAAAAATATTTAATTATAGGAAGAGGCGATTGTCTCTGGACGATGCAGTGCTCCTGGCACAAGGAAGGAAGAGGTATATAGCGCACTCCCCATATTTCGTTTTTCCGTACATGAAGTGTTAGTACATACAGTACAATGGTAACTCCAAAGACGGTAAAGATTTTGAAAAGTGTTACCAATGATTAAGTATTACTTATATTTCAAAGTTCTATTGTATTGTATTTAATTAAAATACTCGGTGGTTCCTGCAATTTCAAGTGTTAATACTTAACTACGGTATGAACTTTTTGTTAAGGTTGAAACATTCAGTTCCAATGAGAAGTAAGTACATCTAAATTGCTATACACATGCATACAAACATTTCTCAAATCACTTCCCATGCATCAGGGCTTTCTGTGACTGAAGACCCGTTTACACTTGCAATCTTCGCTGCCATTTCTAGTGCGAGTTTCTACTTCTGATGCATGTGAACGAGTAGATGAATACAGGGTTCGTACGGGTCCTGGAAAACCTGGAAAGTCATGGAATTTCTACATTCCAAAATCCAGGCCTGGAAATCCTGGAAAATTAATTTTGGTCGTGGAAAGTCATGGAAAATTGAAATTTTACATAACATTAACAAAGTATTTTACTTATTTCAATTTACCAGTCATAACAGTATAATATGAATTGCTGTTATATAACGGATTTTTGCAAGAGCGAAGTGAATTTTGTCTTTTATTATATCTGTTATCGTTAAAATATTAACGAATTTCAGAAATTCCAGACTTCCAGGTCATGGATTTTGAAAAAAAGGTCATGGGAAGTCATGGAAAAGTCATGGAATAGTCATGGAATTTTAAATGGGAGAAGGTGTACGAACCCTGTGAATAATAAATGTTCAGATGAAGGTACACAAACTCAGAACATTCGTAATTCATCTACTCGTTCACATGCATCAGAGGACGAAAACCGCAGTAGAAATCGCTGCAAAAATTGCAAAGTGTAAACAGGCCTTTACGTTCAACATTGTGATTCAACTTTCCCCCTCTTTTAGTTCACGAAAGCGTACATCATCGTTCACTAAGCCTGAGTGTCCTTCGCCACGTCTTGTTCGACAGTCTACGGTTGGGGTGATTTCTTCAAGAAGCATGCACTCACCAACTTACAAGAAATACAGCAATACATACTTCGTACGTATATTTTACTTTTATATACCTCTCATCGTGTATATATTAGGGAGTTTTTAAAGCTTCACGTTTCCGGGAACGGCAAACGGCAGGTTCGAACTTTCTTGGCAAAATTTTCGTTGAACGTTTTCGTTTCATATTTTCTTTCTTGAGTCGAAAGAATAATCATGCATTGCAATTTTAAAACAGCAAGTTCACTTATTCTTTATTGCCTGATATCGTAAAGTTTTTCTTTGCTTGGCGTTTGCCGTTTGACGTATAACGCAAAGCTTAGGGGCACAGTTCAGCCTTTTGAATGATGGTTTTTAAGGCGCATTTCAGCCCTTTTAATTGAAAAAAACTAACTAGGAAAATCAATTAAGCATAATTTAAGATCACCAAACTCAATGTTTTTAACATTTTAAAACATTTTTATTGTTAAAAACATTGAGTTTACTGATCTTGAATTATGTATAATTGATTTTCCAGTTAGTGTTTTCAATTCAAAAGTCTGAATTCGCTTTTGAGAATTTACACCCATGGGTCTAAACAGCGATTTGATTTTTAGGCCGACTCAATGATAAATAAAGCAAAGTTAATGGATCAAACAGAGGTAACCTGGTTATCATTTGCATTTCATCATAACCCAACCTCGTTCCCAGGGTTACACAACGGATTTCTATTGGGAAAAAAAGCAATTATACAGTATTGCTGTACACATCTGATCAATTGTTTGTCGTATTTTTGAGTAATTATTTCGTTTAACTTTTAGCCTAAAAGAACAAAAAAGAAAAGTACAACGTCGCCGCATGAGAAGTAACATTTTAATCTCACTATAATTATTGGAGCTTGACAATCCATATTTTCATCATCAATAATGTTTTGATTTGATTTAGGTTAACGAAAGGTGAAAAGGATGGAATTTGGATTACGTCGATACATTTTGATTCATTTCATAAAATATTAACACAGGTAATCATTTTACACTCGTGAGCGAATGAGTTGATAGTAAGGATATTATATGTATATGATTTTTTCTGTGTTGGTGTAATGTACTCAGGTGAATATGATGCTTGTGATGTTATTCTGAGTGTATATCCACACCGGGCAAGCTTTTTTCAAGCTTGCCCGGTGTGGATATACACTCAGAGTAACATCACAAGCATTATATGTATATGTTTTTCTGTCAGTCTGATTGTATGTTTTATGTGGTTGTTTGTTTATTGTTTATTGTTTTGTCTGAAATATGGTTGATGAATTTCTTGTATTGGTTTTTCGCATGTTGTAGATATTATATCAAACAATTGAATGTCTTGAAGACACTAGATGGGAGCTGCGAAGAATGAGTCAACAGGTATTCACAAATTAAAACCTAGAAAAATCCATCTGTCCCACACGGGGCTTCAAACCCCCAATACACCAACTTAACTTGGTATATACAATTGGCAGATTGCCCATTTCAATGTTTATTTACACTTTTAACAGCCTTTCGTGATATTCACGGAACAATGCATTCTGATCAACATGACAATGAAACCGAAATATTGCATCTCTCAAAAGTTATTCTATTCTCATTAATTTTATTAATCTTTTTTCTGTTAGATTTTACCTCTAATAACGGAAAGTATTCGCTGGTTCGATATTTCCATTCTCGAAGACTTTTGGTCCCAGTATTTATCACGTGATAGTCCGTTGTTTTGCTACAGTGGCTGTATTGCTTTGAAATATTCCATTTCGCATGCAGGAAAATTGCGACAGTTTATTGATCAACCGCCAGCCACGTGGAAGGTATTGTAAGGTCTGCTGGATACATGTACTGTAGTTGTTTAATTGGCTGTTTGCAGGCTACTGTTTTTATGCCATTTCTATAAGTGTCTAATAGGCATATGGCTGTGTATGTCATGTATAGTTAGACTTGGCAGTTACACATGATAACCGGATATGACGTCATTAATAATTGCAAGTTAGCTTTTGTTTTTTTTGTCACAATTCTGTTCTTACCGTAATTCAGTATTGAAGTATATAGTATACCTAGACATGTCTCTTTATGTCATGTGCTGGCGATCACTGATAAATATTGATATTAATTGATATAATTATACCGTAATTATTCAGGATATTGAAAGCTGTTGCAGTTCAGCCATGAGCGTTTTCTGTTCTGTCAACAATGGACTTCAAGTTTGGATGCCTAAGGTATTGAAAGTTCCTTTATATCCCCGTGGTTGCATCATCCGTTGATCTACCTCCTCAATTAAGCCACACTGGAAGGAAACCACAGCAAAACGACAAACAAGCCGCAGCCTACCATTCCACTGAAAGCGATGCTACTGTACACGGAACTATTTTTAACGGCGATTTGTGTACAAATTATGTTCGTGGTTGTCTTGTGTAACATCATCGAATCACAGCCTTAACCCTAAATCACAATCAAGCCACAACTAAACGGTCCCACACGGCATCCGCAGTTAGTTTATGCACTGCTAATTATTATATGTGATTCTAAATTTCAGATCACCAGTTTGTTACGAAATGTTTCAATGTACGATAGAATTACTGTGAGCGCAATGGAGGTTCTTTTAACAAGACAGGCGTTCCTGCCTTTGGACTCACATTCGAAAGAGGTTTGTTACAGATAACAACGGGTATAGAGCTGGGTACTACACCTGCCCATATTTTAGATCTTTTTAACCATTCACCTTAGTATGAGTGGACTGTTTTTGTTGTAAATCAGATCTCATATGAACACGCTTTTTGGGAGGAGATATTCGTGATGTCTTTGGAATTGTTTTATCTAGAAACATTTAACAGATGCGACAATATGTGACGTCATTACTTCATTATTTCTCAAAGCTCATCCGGATAGTCATTGCGGTAAGTTTTGACCAGCCATGGTGGTAAGTTTTGACCAGCCATGGTGGCAAGTTTTTGACCAGCCATGGTGGTAAGTTTTGACCAGCCATGATGGTAAGTTTTGACCAGCCATGGTGGTAAGTTTTGACCAGCCATGGTGGTAAGTTTTGACCAGCCATGGTGGTAAGTTTTGACCAGCCATGGTGGTAAGTTTTGACCAGCCATGGTGGTAAGTTTTGACCAGCCATGGTGAAGCTTCTATGAAATTAATTTAAGCTTACCGTCAGTTCAAGATGTATATTTTTTATTTCAGCACCGTCGTTAAAAAATTCTCGTTCACTTCATTCAAACTGGGATCGAAAGCTGGTTTTCCCAACTGATGAATTTTCATGGTATACCTCTTCTGTAGCTTTGCTAATTTTCTATAAGAACATCCTGGTTTAATATTTCCTGCTTGTTCTAAAACTAACACTGTTTGGATTAATGTTCTTGCTTTCTGTTGCAGTCTCTCTTCGAAAGAACTAACATTGCCAGAACAAGCACGTCAGGTAGACTATTTACATAAGTTTATGAAAGTTTATTGTTTATGCCATAATTTGATGGATATTGTCTTGTTTTCTTGTAGGCTGAACGTTTTCTATTCCTTGAGCTCCATAATTTAATCGCTCAGTTTCTCGGAAGTTGCAGATTAGACGTACAGGTGATGAAATGTTTCTGGTTTAAAATGACCTTCGAACTGTACTCGTCAAAAGTAGAAATCTTGGCAACGAATATATTTACTTTAATAGGTCGTGATGATGCCAATACTAGTTCATTCTGTTCACTCATTCTGTGACGATACAACGATATCTCATTCCTTAATATTCAGGTTAGTCGCACGTATATTTCTTCTACGAGATTGTTCTCACATGCCCAGCGAAATTGATGATGTAGCCCGCGTGCAGGTCCTCCAAGGGAAGAATAGGTGGGCCTGCACGCGGGCTATTGATGGTGGGGAGCTATTATTAGCTAAGCTGCTGTGTCAACTGTGAGAAAACAACATTAAATGAATTTTGTAATAATCGTCAAATGAATTTTTCTAGTATAACGAAAGTTGCAGACAGCCTTCAAGAGAAAATGAGTTCAAAAGATAGTAAACAAATGTAAGTATACAAAGGAATCGCTTTGAAGAATTGATCTGCATTGTTCCTTCTAACAATCACAAGCGCTGAAACCTTTACTAGCAACGTTTTACTATATGATAATTAATCACTGCATATCATCATAATTTTATACTGCAATCTTGGACAAAAAAAGTTGAGAATTTTGTAAGAATTATCACCCATACTCTATTGTTTCCTCTTGATGTACAGTTTATCGACTCCCCCCCCCCCCCCAGTTCAACGTTAGATATCAAACAGAGAAATGAGCCCGTCTGTCATCAACATTGATTTGGAGGGGTGGGGTTATTTACATTTTTATTTAATTTTTTTATCAATTACAGAGGAAAAACAAAAAATTCTCAACAATATTGTCCAAGATTGTGGCAATGAGAAAGTGCTAATATTCAGTAATTTGATCGTTTCCTAGGGGCAAAAGTTATGCTGTTCAGTTTCTGGACTTGGCAATATGGGAATTCAGTTTCCTGATTACGCAAAGAGTAAGTTTCCCTGACCTTGTATATATACAAGAACAATCCTTCAATCCTTCGTATTTTATATTTGGTTTATTTTTGTTTTTTTTGCAGAGTATTGACCTGGGCGTGTTAAAGCAACTGCAAGAAATATTTCTGACGGTTTTTAAACACATTGATAAACCGGGTCATTTGAAAGATCTTTTTCAGGCTGTTAGCACAAGATTAAATTATGTGAGTAGGGTATTATGTAACTACTAAACTATATCATCTATCACTTCTTAACTGTTCTTCCTCGAGGTTCAAGAAAGGGCCATCATGCACTTACAGTATTTGCAAAGCCATCACTTACAGTATTTGTCTAGTGTTACATCACGAGAAAACCTGTGGTGTTTCATACAGTCTTAAGAAATTTTTCGCTCAATTTCTTTTGAATTGTTGAGCGGTCAAGTAGAACTGATATATTCGGATGGTCACAATTCAAAAGAAGCCAAACGAAATATTTCTCTGTAAGTGGAAATCCTCTCTAACTGGAAGCACTCTTCTTGACATATGCGATTGAGACAAAATTATACGAAATACTACGAAACAACAAAACTTTAGCTGGGACCAACATAATCTACGTCATTGAAAACGAATCGAGCTAGAGTGTGTGACGCAGGCTAGAAACAACAACAATCTCGTTGTTTTCAGCAACGGTTGAATTCATGTGAGATGCTTTAATACTCAGACATACCATCATTCGAATTAGGAACCAGATTTAGTGCGTTTAATGAACACGGAGGAAGACGAGGACAATGATGTATCTTGGTCTGAACTACAACTGTTATCCAACGATATCCCTACAAGTCCAGTTCCGGAATCTCCCTTGCTTCAAGATGATAGTGATGATGACGATTTACAAGGTAAGACAGTGCCGTCGTTGGCATCTAGATACAACTGAATCATAGATTAAGTAAGAACAGATGTGTAACTTCAGTAAAAAAGTTGTCCCACGGTCGCCATCTTCCTAGCAAGTGTCGCTCGCGTGATTATTCGTCAATTTCGATCCAAGAAAGCCGCAATAAAATGCAAAAGTTCATGTTTTCCAGGACGCCATCTTCCTAGCAAGTGTCATGGCGTGAGCATGACGTGTACATCTAGGGAAATTTGAGGACACGAATTCCTATTAAGTTACGCATCTGGTATATACTTAATCTGTGACTGAATGTTGAAGGCTTTTTGTAGTTGCGAATTTCGTAGATGGAAATTAGGCCCTCTGGCAGGAATCGAATCTGCGGCTCTGCGATTCCGGTGCAGTGCTGTAGCCAACCACAACTATATATAGAGTGCTGTTGTCAACCATAAGTATAACCGCGTATTCATGTGATTATACACTCGAGATTTGCATCTACAAAAAACTTTCAACATTGTCCATTGTCATGTGAAATTTCAATGTTTTTTAAAGCTAATATTTGAATCAATGATCCCCGTTTATCCAGCTTTATTCTCAACCTCTCTAGACAACTCAGTAGATCGTGTCATTCACGAGTCTGTTGCCCTGAATCGTTCCCATGACCGTCGTTTATGAAATTCATGGCCAAGGCTTCAAGAAACTTATATTTCCCTTGGACATTTTTGTTTAAGGACAACGCCAGAGAAGCAATTGGCGAGTTTATTAACCAACTGTGGATGGTGTTTAAGAAAAAGGAATATGTTGTTTGTTTGTTTGTTTGTTTGTTTGTTTGTTTGTTTGTTTTGTTTTGTTTTGTTTTGTTTGATTTTATCAGTTAATCATGCAATACCAATTACTCTGTCCCAGGAGCTACGTATTTCATGCAAGAGTTGAAAAAATGTGTCCTGGTGTCGTTGGGTATACCACCAGAAACTGGTATGTTCTTTGTTAATTTTGTCAAATAAAATGTTTTATATGGGTAGGTGGGTCGGAAAGACATTTTATTTTAAAAAAATATTTGATCTCAAGTGTGCAATAAATATAAGTTGTTTATGAGTAGTTAACTGTCACGCATGATCAAACGTGGCACGCAGGATGCCAGGATCACCCGCAAGTTACATGTGTTTCGCAAGAAAGAAACGCATGAAGTCTTTTTTCAGCCGTAGCTGCCCTGTCAGAATAATGTACGTTTTTAATATTTTATTCAGCTGTTCTTTGTATAAAACTATGATTAACAGATAATGATTAAATTATAAGCAAACAAAATAATTTGTAGACAAATGACAGGGTTCGTAGCGGTCTTTGAAATCCTTGAAAGTCTTTAAATTGGAATGCAGGTCTTTGAGGTCTTTGAAAAGTCTTTACATTGTGTGAAAAAGCGAAGAAAGTCTTTAAAAGTCTTTAAATTCTTTAGTGAGGAATTGATTATACGATTTCCTAGCTAATAAAATAGATTGATTGAATCAAGATTTTCGCAAATATTGACGAAAATGCGCATTTTAGGATGTGATTTGAAGGGACTAATTACTGGTTAAAAATGGTGCTTACACTCGCAAGTTTTCGACAGCTGATTGCTCCCAAAGGTCTTTGAAAATTCTTTGAAAATAGGCAGAAAAAATCTTTGAAAGTCTTTGAATTTTTTTTGGTCTTGGAAACTACGAACCCTGAATGAGTCTGATGACTATTTATATATTCTGCTATTTACGAAAAGATGATCTCTACTGGGAAATGTCAATAAAATGTTTATGGTCGATCATATTTTTGACAGGTCGGGTCTTGCAACTACCTGTGGCTGAGGTGTTATTAATCATATACTTGCAACATTAAAAATCTGTATATTTCAGAATGATGTTGACAACATATTCTACTTGGCATCAGATGAAGAATTGAAGAAATGTAAACTGAGTGATGGACAAGTTCCTATAGTATCTACGTAAAAGTTATGTCAGGATATTAAGAAGTTTCGTAATTGTTTTCTTCAAGGTTCCTGTGTCAGATTCCCGCAGCACGTATTGTAATAAATCCTGGAATGAATTCTTCGCAAGAACTGGAATCCGCGCAAACGAATTATGGGGACCGGACTTGGTAAGACTAACGATGCCATTTGGATAACCCGGTGAAACTTGATGAAAGTCACTAGTGTTTTCATCAAATATCTTAATTACGCATGCCAAATTACTTGAGTAGAATTCCTAATTACACACTCAAAAACAATGTATGAAAACACGTGTTTTCATACATTGTTTTCTCGTGTTTGGATATCCCGGTGAAACACTCGCTCTCGTTGTTCATATATTACGTCCTGTGCATTTAGTTGGCGTTCTTCCTGGCGACTTTCTTTGAAAGAAATTCTTGACGCTATCGATGTTTCTGCTGAGTTTGAGTGGCAAAGGTAAAAGGACTTAGAATTACTTTGCTATTATGTTGTAGCTAATTCGTGTACGCGAACGTATAACTGCTGCTTGACCAGCATCTACTGCACGATGGTGCTTGACCAGCATCTACTGCCGCTCAGCATCTACTGCTTGACCAGCATCTACTGCACGATGGTGCTGACCAGCATCTACTGCTGCTTGACCAGCATATACTGCTGCTTGACAGCATCTACTGCTGCTTGACCAGATTCCCCTAGGGAGAACAGTGTAGAACTGATGTAACTATCCAATATAAATAAAGTTAAAATACTCATTAATAGTTCATAAACCTTGTGGCAAATCATGTTAGCCATAATATGTCACGTGGAGTGACTTTATATCTGATAAAACTCATCTTCATTAGTATTCTTTATATAATTGTTCATCCTAATTAGTATGATTATATAATTGTTCATCCTAATCAGTATTCTTTTGTTGCCGTAATTTAAGCTATTCAAAAGACTCGTTGTCGTGTTTTATCAGACATAAAAGATAAAACGCTCGGCTGCGCCTCGCGTTTTATATCTGATTCATTTTCTTCGTAATTCTGTATTGACCCTATGTCATATTTTCAAATAGGGTAAGCGAAGCGAAGAACTCTATAAACTGGAGTTGGACGAAGAAGGACTGACTAACAGTTAACCTCTTCTTCTAGCTTCTTCTCGATATTGTTGAAAATCTTCTAAATAGCACTGTCACATCATGGAATGTTTTAAAACAGGTAAGCTTGGCTATTTATGTATCTATATTTTTGCGATATTGACAACTCTAAATGTTTGCTTGTTTGTTTATATTATTTTGTTTGTTTGTTTGTTTGTTTGTTTGTTTGTTTGTTTGTTTGTTTGTTTTACAGTACAAGAGTCCTGAGTTATTGCTGAAGTACGTGGAACAAGCAGCCACAGCTCTTGGGGAAAGTTTGGAAGCAAACGATTCCCTAAGTTTGAATTCTAGCAATTTTGGTGAGTGAAGTATTTTGAGTGAGTGAGTGAGTCAATCGGTTCATTTTCTGTTATAAGGCGCTATTCTATATTATATAGGTTTACGGATTGAACGCGTGGATCCTATTCAATTTTTTTCTAATTAGCTTTGCAACATGCTTATCAAGCTTGTTACAACTTTGTATGTAACAAGCTTGTTGACAACAAGACAAATCAACAACCTCACTACAAGTCCGTCAACAAACCGTTACAAATCTGTGTCAAGAAGCTGGGAACAAGCAGTGCGAACACGTCCTGTTGAGAAGTTGTTGGAACAGCATTGCTACACGTCTGCTGCAGATTTGTTACAACTTGTGCGTTTTTACGTGCGTACTCACTCTTTCGTATTATCCAAGACTGAATCGATAATGCACAAGCAGGATAAAATTTAAAGTGCTTTGATAGAAGTTATTGCGCATGCGTTCAGATTTGCCTGTGATAATCAATACAAGACACAGGATTCAGGGCATAATTTTTTTCTGTTTTATTTTTCATGCAGAAACAGCAGTTGTGTTTCAGTACATTTTCACAATCTTCAATTCTTTTCAGGTCAGTCATTATTCCGTCTTTACTCACCGTCCACCAGGCTTTGAAGGCTTTCTAGGAATTTACTGCTATATCAGCCAACGCTAAACAGACCTTCTTTAATGTCCAATAAGGACCATCTGTTATCCGGCTAGTGTCTGCGGAATTTTGCCTCATAGCGCTCGTGTAAGGAAGAAAAAACTTTAAAAATCTTATGTTTTGTCAGGTGTGTTGAAGATTACCACAAACTGACAGAAACACAGTTTTTAATCCAGTCCCCCTCGGCAATCTGACGACTGACGTCCATGTCACAGAATAAGAAGGTATAGCAGAAGCGTAACTCTAGTCGTTTCCCTTATTGTTTTACGTCCACGAAAATTTTAACTCGCTCACGCCAATCCACGTCATCCTGGCTAGTACAACCGGACGTTTTTATCAGGTTTTGGTAGGTACAAAGTGCCGGTTGTACTAGCCAGGATGGCGTGATTGATGACGAATCGCTTGTAAAAACGCGGACAAATACTTGCTTGAGTTACGCTTCTGCTATACCTTCCTATTCTGTGTCCATGTTGACAAAAAAGTCGCTTGAGTACATTAGTAAGAGATGAGTGCCCCAAACAAGAAGCGCCTTTCCCATTTCCAAGATGAGACTCTGGGACGACCCTGGTCACGCACTAACCAGCGTAACCTATCACAGTTCCAATCATAAAACGTTCTTGTTTTTAGGGTTTCTTCATTTTCCATTGCGTTTTCAACAAAGGTAGCGTATTTATAACTTTATTGTTAATCTGCTTTTTTGTGTTCTTTATACCAGGACCAGAAAGGCAGCTTACAAACAAGCCGAATATCCAATCCTTTCGTTAAGAAAATTGACGTAAAAGACGTAAGAGCATTGCCAGAGCCGCCCAGGTTTGAAATGATGAAAGAACGTTTTTGATTATGACAATAAATTGTAATCAAATTGAAGACTTACATATGTGTATATAACATTAGATAATTTATTGTATTTGTTCTATTATATATCACAAAAATGCCAGAGTTAAGCAGATTATATTGAGTTTCAACTTCCTCAACTTGGTTTGCCCAGTGATGCAAAGACATCACAAAATAACCTAGCCACGAGAGGGAGTCTAGAGAGCAGAAAACAAAGTATCCCTGGAAAAATTTGAAAAAAATCATGATTTCTAGCTTCGAAAAAAAGTTTTTTGAAGTTGTCATTTCAATGGATTTGACCTGTCCGATTGTGTGTTGAAACTTGAGAGAGTTAAAGTTAAATGAACCTGTAAAAGTGTAAACCCAATAGGCCAATACACAATATGCTTTTACTTTTATAAAGTCATTGACATTGTGTCGTTTGAATCCGAGTACAATTTATGATGCAACTCCGATGTAAATAATATTTGGGGCGTAAAGATTAAATCTAGGCAAGTCCATTTCCTAAAAGAATTAAAAACTAAAAATAATGTTGTAAAAATTCCAAACGTTCCTTGCAAGCAAGCTATTTGCATGACAAAGCACTGCATGCTCTATTCAGGGAAGATAATAGAATTCAAAACTTTACAATTGCTCCAATAAACCAGTGAATGCAAGCGAGTCTTTTTCTATTTGAGTGTACTCCTACGTTTATTTTGTATCATCACACTCTGCACGTTGGAGTGGACTAAAATCTTATTTTCAGAACTCTAATTCATTCTATTCAGCACTCTTTGGAGTTGCAAACAACCCGTCTGTTGTCCAGAACTCGAAGAATCATCGATGACAGTGACGACCTGATTGAAGGCCCATTGGATAGAATTGTTGATCAGAAGTGATATTTTTACAACAACCAAGTGGCCAGCCAATCAACACGCCCAAGCCACAGCCAATGAAGATTGTTTTTGTCGATGATAGTTCCATAAGGCAAGTCGTTTCAGGACAAGTGAAATCGAAACTACAGCCCAGCGCATTGTGAGTCGTAATGGTTACTTCGAAAATTACGCCACCGTCAACAGAAATGTATTTGCGATATACCGTTGCGAACTTGCCAGTTACGTTTCCAAGTGAACTGTTTTGGCGTGAACTGCGAATTTCATATGTTCATACTCCATAATAATAATTCAATGAAATACAAACCTTGGTAGACCACTGGACCAAGAACGTGCCATTGAATTATTAATACAGTAATTGAACTTGAACTACGAAGTTTATGAACATTTGTTTACAACAGAAGTTCAGACATTTGAAATGAACTTTTTGACGACGTTCACGCCTAATTTCCGAACTTGAAAACGTATTTGCAAGCTCGCAACGAACTTGGATGCTGACACTGGCTCGCCATCAAGCGTGAACAGTGCAGACAGTGACTCCGTCCCGATTACTGCCCTGAAACAAACGGAAGCGCCGAAACGAAAGGAAAGTGAAAGCAATGATGGAACAGAACAGAAAAGTAGAAAGAAACGAAGAAAGGACCCGAACAGACCGGTCAAGTAAGAGTTTGAAAACGCCTCATGGAAAATGTTGGGTCTTTTCTCGAGAGGCCAGTCACCCAGGTTGACGAAGAATTCAAGATTCGGAAGTTTTACCTTGAAAAAGTGGTTTTAAATGAGTTTTCAGACCATGGTGCAGTTTATTGTTGAGTACTATACATAACTGACCGTCACGTTTAAAATACCATCAAAACTCAATGAATTCACCTTGCGCATCAGAGAATGCAACCAGGAGTCCATGAATTGAGCAAATCCAACATGTTGTCCATACGTTTTACGATATATCTTGCAAAAAAAATTATGAATAAATTTAGGAGTGAATGCTTTGCGCACTATATGGAAATGTTGCGCGCATCATACAAATTATTGCGCGCCATATGCAAAAGAACAACTTCCATGACCTTTTGCTCTTGTACTGAAGATTTAGTGACTGAGATACTTAGCTGTGTCTATCTGCTTGTAAGTTGCTGGACAGTCCATCGCCTTGCTCCAAATACTGTGGTTCTTTTGAGGACAGTTGCAGTTCTCGTGGTAAAATTCTAAAGACAAAATCTAAGTTGTTGTTCACAGTTCGCTTATCATCATGTCATTACTGGTACTTAAACTGCTGTATCTCATTTACCCACCGTCTGCAGTAAATCCATCCCTGGATTTTTACACAATCTGCAAATTAATCTAGTTATGCTCAGTGATTCTATTAATATTATTAACCCAAGTGCCCGTGCTCTCCCCTTGACAATTAAAATCATCTAGTGTTAGTAAAGTGATATTAGTAGGGTGCATTAGGGCACAATGCAACTTACTTTAATAGGTCAATATTCACTATTTGAAAAAATTACCTTTTAATATATAAGGTGATCTGCCACGTCTTTTCCATCGTACTTGACATTGATAATGAGCTCATCAACACTCTCGTAAGCTCGATAAAGAACAATAAATGAACCATCGTGACGATCCAACACTTGTCTCCAAGCTCTTACTCTGCTTACATTGAGGGGTGAAAAGATTTTAGTTGACATCAAAGTAATTGTCTGATGGGGTTGTTCCGGAAAAGGTCCACCCTGCCCCCAAGGAGGAAATTTCTGCCATCTGGAATTTGGTAGTACGTCATTGCCTTTAAAAATGTTTTCAACACCTTTTCTA